TTTTTTTCGTCTTTTCTTTCTGTAAAACAAGAATAATTTGATACTTTGCCCTTTATAGGTCACTTTTAGAAGTTCTTGTTTGCTTATTGCCGTTCTGTACATGCGCTGAGAAGGTATGTGGTAAAGATTGTGATAATCACCTTTTGTTGGAGTGATATTTGCAATACTTCACATGGAGATGCAAAATAAAAAAATGACCGGTCTCATTTTGTTTAGTATATGAAATGAGATTAAGGAATGATGTGATCATTGATGTGTGGAGATTCCTGGGGAAAAATTAGATAATGGGGAGGTTCTTAAACTGGCACAGAGATAAAATTGTTCAGTAGCTGAAAGAGGATGTGTGTGTGTGTATGTCTACCTATCTATATCCGTGTGTGTATACACACACACAGATAATATATATTTAAATCACTGAGACAATTTTCTATCCCTAGAAATAAACTAAGATAGGATGCTTCTTGAAGGGATATTATGTTATTGTCTAATTTAGACAGGAGTTAGTTCTGGGAAGTTTAATGTCTTGTGTAACACAAGGTATTGACCCCATGATTGCTGCAGTCCGTAAACTCTATTATCTGAGTCTGCTCTAGCTGACAGTATTTTCAGCAGAGACACTATGCACCTATTCTACTGAGAGATTATTTCCAGTACAATGCAGTGCATTACTGTGCTACCACTGGCTATTTTAGCCCTTCCTAATTAGACAGCTTGTCCCAGTGTGCTGAGGCAGAACAGATGGAGGGGATTAAGATTTGGTGTGTGGCCTGGAGGCTCTGCAAAATACATGTAAACAAGGGTTGGGTGTGTTCATGCTTTGGAAAGGAGGAGAGGGAAGGATGCAAGGCAAAATGCTGCTTGGAAAATTGCCACATCTAAGGAGAAATGACTGAAAATAGGTAGAAAACACCTGATTGTATACAATTAAGAGAGCAGCCTGAAAAACAGGTGAGATAGGGCTGTGGAGCAGACAGAATGGGTGAAGTCAAATTGGTCCTGGAGAAAAATCCCAGTGGCAGACTGCCAGGCTGGGACCTGGGCAAGGAGAGGTGACCAAAATGAACTCTTTCACATTTTAAAGCATGGGCGCTGCCTGCTTTGCTGGCTCAAGTGACCACATTAAGACATGAGAGTGGGAAAGGTTTGGCTGTGAGCAGGAAGAAAAATAACTTTCCCATTTGACATGTGGAGCCGCAGAGGAAGAAATGTTCCTGTAGCCAGTGCTATAGCAGAAGCTGACTTGCATGAGGGCTACGATTTGCCACCTTCATATTCGGTGTGAATGGTGACACTTCTTGAGAGCTGTGACATTCAAGTAATCCACTTAAGCTGTTTGTAAGTGGCCAGAAATGAGGTTGAAGGTGAAGCACTTTTTGCTTACTCATTAAAGCCATCGTGTTAGATTGGTGCTGAACTTATCAAGAGACCTATATGGATTTCAGAACATGCAGTATCCCTTGAGCAGACCTCTCATTGGGTGATGAAGATCTCTTGATTGCAGATCAATTTGGGGGAAGATGTCTTTCAAATCTGACACAGCTGGAATCTCTCTCTGGGTGCCCACTCTGTGGCAGAGTGGGATATTGTGCAAGAGCAATTATGAAATGAGGAAGGAGCCCGTCTTTGGGGTGAAGCTTTCCTGATGTGGTGAGTCTTGCTTTGATATTTTTCCTTGTGCTGATGCAATGCTGCTTTTTCTCTTAGCACTGCTCTCAAGTCGGGGTGCAAGGACATAGTCATTGCTTCTGAGTCTCTGGATGTTGTGTTAAAACCCAGAGGAAGTGATTGAGCTGGTAAGAAGCTGTGAGTAGCGACACAGATTTCCGTCAGCTCAACTGGTCTCTGGAATGGTACCTTGCTGTGGCCGCCTTATGGTCACACAAAATGCACTTGCAGCTTGCTGTTGGCCTGGGCTTATGGCACCAGAGCGCTCGGAGGTGCTGCCTGGCTGCAAGGCGGGAGGATTCTCATGGGAAGTCTGCAGACCAACATTGAAATTCCTCACTTGACAGTCCTGTCATCACTGTAATCATTGTCATGCAAATTACTGATATTTTAGGCATGCTGTTCCTCTTTGTGGTCGCTCTGAGTCTTTACTTGATAGTAGAAGGAGAAAATTATTTGGCATCTGTCATAATTGCATCAGTTCCTCAGCACAGAAAATTAATTGTGAACCTTTTTTTTTTTTAAAAAAAAGACAAAAATATATGAAAACATCTGTTTAATTTTTTTTTTAGTTGCCAACCTGCATTCTCCAAGTCAGTGCTAAAAGCCTTTCAGAATTGGGGAAGTTGGATTTTGGGGATGCACAAAAGGTTACTTAATGTTGAAAAAAGGTTTTCCATCTTTTTTTTTTTTTTTTAGAAGAGGTCTTTCTAGGCTTTCTTGTGCTAGAAAACAGTTTGAGAAGTACCTGTGGAGCTTTAGAGGCCCTCAGAGTTCATGCTTGTACGAACAATTGATTGCCTTTGTGCAGTCTGCATTGGATTAGTGAAAGAATAAGAGCGCTTAGTCTGAAAAAGAAGCTTGCCCTCTGACTGACTCCACAGCATTAAAATAAACCAGTAGAATAACCTACCAAGTTGGCATTTTCTACATACTAAGTGTTAGAGGCAGCATGCGACAATATTTTATTTGCTCAGTTTTTCCAGTTGTGTAGTGTGCTCTTAGGAAAGGTACATGATTGATTTATCTTTGAAATCTTTCTCTCTCTACCTAGAAATATCAGCCATTTTATTACAAAATGTTCATTAGTCTAGAACAAAGTAGACTTTATTATTACAAGCTTAGGTACGTGTTCATCAGGTTTTGTTTGGTGGACAAAGGTGCAAGTGGATCAGGTTGTTAGTAAAGGAGCTATGTAACTCCTGGGTTTTTGGCATTCTTATTTCATCTAAGGGGAGGAAAAAAACCCTTGTGATGATGATTTTGTTATTAGTGAGAAAATCTGTGACCTATATTACACACTGCATGTTGTTAAATGCAAATACTGTTTGTAGAATATCTGTCCCTATTTTACACATCATATAATCATTCTTTTTAATGATATTTTTCAAAGGTTTCTTTAATTTCCACTCCACACTAGAGAGTATGCTGACAAGGGAGGTACCTCCTAATCATTAATGAATGTTTCTTTAGGGAATTAGTGTGCTGAAAATCTTACAAATAAATTATGGTTATTCTCTTGTGTCACACGGTGGAATATAATGGAACCTTTAGAATAAAAATTCTGAAAAATACTCCTGGCCGTGATGCACATCACCAGCTGAAAAATCTGTAGTCTGCAATAAAAAGAAGACACATCGTGTTCTGTGTAGGGTTTTGTGTGTGTGTGTGTGTGTGTGTGTGTGTGTGTGTGTGTTTGTTTGTTTTTTCCATTTGGTTTGGGTTTTTTTAGGATATTTCTGACTTGAACTAAGTAAACCTGTGCTGATATAATTTGAATTAGTTTGCAGCAGCCCACTCAGAGCTGTTGGAGTCTTGGTCTCTGCATCAGCGAGCACTGGCACAGTTGCAGTAGATCAGTGGGTGGCTTTGGGTCCTTATGCTTCCATTAGTCTTTTGGAACAAGTTTTGTGTGTCTGGAGTGAAGCTTTTTGGCTCAGTTTGCTCAGAAAGGGGTATAATTTGTGCACACTGAAACTGCTTTGTGTTCCAAATCAACATGTGGTACTTGAAGATGTCAGGGGAATTTGCTTCAGGACAGCACAGCTACTCCAAACCAAACACTAATGTAGATGTGGCCCTTAAAGCAGAGTGTGAAATGAATATATGCCTTTAAAATGTCTTTGACTTTGACATCATGTAACTAAGAGTAGCCACGTCAAGGTAAATATAGGTACTTGAAGTTTGATATATATGGAGAATCCATATAAAATATTCCATGATTATGTTTGTTTCTAGCTGCTGACATTTTAACACCATTTTGTGTAGTCTTATTTGTCCTCTGTCTTTTAAGCTGCACACTTTCTAAAATTTGGGAAGTTCTATACTTTGAGAGCTTGGAAACACTTACAAAATGACCTTTTTTTCTTTTAAACAAATTATTAGTTAATTACAGGTAGAATAACCCTATGTTGGCCAGAGTTTTTCTTCATGATAGTTAACAATTAAACCAATTGAATCACAAACTTCCACAATCATCTTTAGTCATGGAACTAATGCATTAATTCAATTCTGACAAGACTGCAAGGGTATTAAGAAAGCAGAGTAATTAATAAATTAGTAGTATATAAGAAATCTGAAGTGGCTGTGACCTACAGAGTAGCCTGTCAGAGACTGAACAAACTGAAATAAAAGCTGGAATTTGTCTCAGTGGGGAAATGATGAGGAATGAGGCACTCTTACCTTTAGAACTTGGTAGAAATTGTTCTTTATTTTTTTCCTCTACAGGTATGCTGCTTCAATTAAACCAGACATTTCACAGCAATATTCTGGCTGTGACAAAGCTCCTTTCCTGTCAGAGGAAAAGAAGAAATGTGAGCCTTCTCCTTGCTCTCGTAGCAAGGAGGCTCTCATTTAAGATGACATGTAGGCTTTGGGTATCCTTGCTTACAAATTATTACTTAAGATATCCTGCATTTTTTTCATAGTTGTGTTGCTATTATAAAAAAATAATCCATTTCTACAATGAAAATACGAAGAAATCTCATACAACTAGAAACTTTGATTTCAAAGTTTGAAGCGGATCATGCAGGTTACCTTTTGGTAATGCATGTTATATGTATGGAAACATCCAGAGTCCTAGGCAGGTCGTCACCTTGGTGTTGGTAGGGGAACCTTCAGGGAAGGTAACAGCATTTGCATGAGCAGTTGTATGAGTGGGGTTCTGATACAGTCAGCACTGTGGCTCAGACAGCTGGAAGCTTCCTGGCTTGATGAAAATGTCTCATTTTTCAGTCAAGTAAGGAATTCTTTCCAGATCTCTTATTTTCGTTGTTTGTATGCTCTTCCTTCTGATGGTGGGAATGTCTGATGGTTCTTTGTCTCTTCCAAAACAGAATCAGACCACAGCTAGCCAAAGAGAAGATTGAAGGATGCCATATTTGTACGTCTGTCACACCTGGTGAACCTCAAGTGTTCTTGGGAAAAGATAAGGCCTTCACTTTTGATTATGTCTTTAACATTGACTCGCAGCAAGAAGAGATCTATATACAGTGTATAGAAAAACTGATTGAAGGTTGCTTTGAAGGCTATAATGCCACCGTCTTTGCTTATGGCCAAGTAAGCTTTAAAGTTTTATTTTAAATTATTTATTTTGGGATGAGCAGTTTCTAGTAACTGATCTTAAATTTTGGAATGCATGAACCTGTTTTTCAGCATTTTAAACAAGGTATCCTGTAGGAGGCTGTTTAGGAATTTGTATAGATTCTGTGCAGAATGGCAATGAAAACACAAAAGATAGATACAGGCAGTAGGTTTGAATTAATGGTAATGCTAAAATAGCGTGAGTTCGTATAATTCCTCAGTTCACCCCAAAGCAGCAATACAAATTAGAGACTTAGTTGATGTATATAGGTTGTACTGAGATTCTTTTCTGAGCACTTATCCATCCCTCTGCATTTTCAGACACTTCTGGGAAGAGGAGCTTTTTAAAAATAGATCCTAGGGAACTTCAGGCCACATTGTTTGTTTGTTTGTGGGCGAAGTGGAGAGAACAGATTCCAAAGCTGAAGAACTTTTCATAGAGAACACACCCTCGGTACACTGGGCACACATTGCACTTTTCAAAGCTGAAGTATCATTGAGCACAATGTAGGGAATGTGTTATTGTCTTCTAAATATTCCTTTATGAACTGATTGCATAAAATTTGGTCTTGGATGCAACATTTTGGCGCTGTTAAATGTCATATCTCAAGTCAGGTAGGTGAAGTCTAGTCCTAGTGAAACAAAGCAGTTTGCAGATGCAGTTTGGTAGATTATGTTCAGCTCTGTGATACTGTCTTTGCCTTAGTCTTGACCCACTAATGAAGTGAAAACACACCACTACCTTGTCTTTTCTAGGACTTCACATTTAATTAAGCTCTTTTCCTAGTGAAGGTGCAGCTCGTATTCTTCAGCACTGTCTATAGATTGAGAACAATGGTAATATTCTACCTGAGATGCTCAGACAGCATAATTAAGGGAGTCATTTGGTCTACTTCAGTAAAAAATTGCAAATGCTGCTTCTGCCTCCAAATTACATGCTTTTATTAACAGTCTTGATTGAAAAGATTCTCTGTACTTTTGACCTCAGAAGTGATTGCTCAAGGCTACTGTAAGCAGATTAGAGGAAGTTTGTAGGGGAAAGGTTATGAAAGACTGAACTGTTCCCTGCCTTCATGTGTGTGATCTGTGGATGAACAGTGGAGTGTATCCAACCTGTGCTGTTTATCCATTTTTCAAAATGACCTGTTGTTGTGCATTATTTTTATTATAAAGATGACAGACTGACTTAGTAGTCACTGTCCAGCACTGGTGTTCACAAACTGCATTTCTCTGTGATGATTTGGTACTATTAACATGTTACAGTGACTGTTCCTTTTTCAATTTAGACAGGTGCTGGCAAAACATACACCATGGGCACTGGGTTTGATGTCAACATAACAGAAGAGGAACAAGGCATTATATCGCGTGCTGTTAAGCATCTTTTCAGATGTATTGAAGAAAAAAAACAAGCTGCTATTAAACAAGGACTTCCACCTCCAGATTTCAAAGTGAATGCACAGTTTTTAGAGGTAAATATGACCTGTGTCTGTGGGTGTAACTTCATGTATCTTTTTTGGAAAGCCAGTTAAGCATTTTCTTTTCTGGTTGCTACTTTTACATTCTTTTCCCACAAGATGTTTTGAATTAATCTTCAAGATTTAAAATGAATTTTTATGGGGCTTGCTTCAGCTTCTCAGTTTATGAGAAAGAGACTTTTTATCTTGTTCCAGTAATTATAGTATTTTCCTTTACAGCATTATTTTGAAGTGTAGAAATAGTCATATTAGTCATCATTTCACAGAATCACAGAATGTTAGGAGTTGGAAGGGACCTCTGATGATCATCTGGTCCAACCCCCCTGCCAGAGCAGGATCACCTAGACCAGGTCACACAGGAACGCGTCCAGGCGGGTTTTGAATGTCTCCAGAGAAGGAGACTCCGCAACCTCTCTGGGCAGCCTGTTCAGTGCTCTGTCACCCTCACAGTAAAAAAGTCTTTCCTCATATTCAGATTGAACCTCCTATGCTCCAGCTTGCTCCCATTGCCCCTTGTCCTGTCATTGGCTGTCACTGAGAAGAGCTTGGCTCCTTCCTCCTGACACTCGCCCTTTACAAATTCATACACATTAATGAGGTCACCCCTCAGTCTCCTCCAAGCTAAAAACTTAAAAATTTCTCCCTTTCTGCAGCAAAGATTTGTTTACGGGGCTCATTGCTCTTGCCTGTTTGTAAATCTTTACAAAACTGCAAAGCAAGAAACTATTAAAAAAAAGCAAACAGTTGTACTTTGTGCCTTTGAATAGTGACCATGCTTCGCCTGCTTTTGTCACTTTGCCATATTTTTCTTTAGCTTTCAAAATCTGTCTAGGAGACTTGTTATAGTCCTTTCACTGAAGAAGAAACATAGCATAAAAATACTTCTTCGTGATACCCAATGGTTTAGGATTGGGCTTGTGTGTCACTGTTCCCTCTTTCCTTACACCCAGGGAAAACCTGAGTCAGTGCTGTGGAAAAACAGTTCCCTTTGTGTTTTCTTGTAGACGCAGCTCTTGGTAAAAGAGGCCATAACATCTGTGATCTTTCTGATCTGCAGCAGCTGCTGGTTTAAATCTTGCAGCTTCTACGCTGTCTCCTGCCCATGAAACTGTTTTCTAAATTGATTGTTTTGGGTGTAACATTTACATTCACTACCAAGCTGCGAAATGTGATACTTTAAGCACACAGAGAGGAAGAATCAATTTAAGGAAGAGCAGGTGTAAATGTGTATTACTTAATTCAATATTTGCAACTTTACTTTATCTACTTCGTATATCTAGCTACTAGTATCTAGCTACTTTATCTAGCTTTGTAAAAGCTACTTTTATATTACCCAAGAGAAAAGCTGTTGATTTTATTACTGCTGAAGTAAACTAGGTCCTTTAGTCATGTGTTCCTGTAATTGTTTTAAAGATTAACAAGCTGGCATTGGTTTTGCACCGGTGTAGGTTTGTCACTGCTAACCTTAAGCAGAGCTTTCTTTTGCTCTGGCTAATGTTTGCCTAGAGAGAGCCTAGGCTTGAGCATGGGCCATGGGAATGCTGTGCTCTTCTGTTCTCTCTGTTTGAATACTGGGGAGCTGCAGCGTCATTTCTGCTCAGGCAGCTGCAACAGTGGTAGTGTAAGGAGTAGTAATCAGTGTAGTTTCTGAATTCCTTGTGTTTTTTGACATAACATCACGAATGTGACTGAGAGTCTCAAAATACAGATCAGTAATTGAATGTTACATTGATAATGGTATGTGGAATTACATCCATTACAAATGTATGTGCTAAAAGCTGTCATGTTTATCTAATTTAGAAAAGAGTTAAATGATGTATTTAATAGTTTGTCACTTTATTTGTAGATTTATTTTTTCAATTGTACTAGGAGTTTTCACAGAAAGAGCTTTTTCTGATTAGTTAGGTAGTATACACTATTCTTGTATCAGAAAGTCTCTTCTTCCTCCCATCCTGTCTATCATTAGAGCTGGATTATGTAAACAATAGTTTAGTCATTGAACAAGTTGAACCAACATTTTATTTTGGAGTAACTTTCAAGTCTGACAGCTGGACAGCTACTGGGAATAGTGACTTCTGTTTGCTACTTCCTTGCTTTTCTTTAGTTTGCTGCAGTCTGCCTCTCTTAACTCCTTGTTTTCCTGCTAACTTTTCCAAAAGACAGACATATGCATTCCCATGCAATGTTAGGTGCGTTATGAGGATCTCCTATAAATTGTGGCATCAGTTTGTTTGCATTTAGCAAGGTTAAACATCAGTAAGATGACTTCTATTTTATTTATGCCTAGTAATTAAATACAATTCCTTTTTAATGTGCAAAGAATTAAAAGCATCACATTCACAAATGCTCAGCCTTCTCAGGGATGGACTTTTGCTTGTGAGAGGAGAAAGCTTCTTGCTTTCAGTGCATGGTTCCTTGGCTTTTACCTAGGGACTTTCATCAGGGATTTAATCAGTCTGGCCTAAGCTCTGCTGAAGTGAATTGGGTATAACCATATAATAGACACTAAAACTGTTCTAGCATAAGTCAGCTTATGGGACCTGAGCCACGAGATTCCCAGTGGGATGCTGCTTTTTCTGAGTTGACTTTTTTTTCGTTTACCCTGATGTCTTCAATTAGATTGAAACACTTTTCCTAAAACTCAGAACATTCTTGTCAAACAGTAATCCATCTCCTCTAAGATCAGCAAATGCATAGTGTTTTCTGATGTCTATCCTGGTTCTGGTATCATTTATTGACCTGAAAGTCTGATGTGCTTAGTGATACTGAATTGAAAGACCACTAAATGTACATGTGCTTACCTTCAGGAGACCCAATGAAACAGGCAGTAAACATTAATAAGCCTGAAACATGCAGTAAATAGTTGCTGTTGCTCATATAACTGTGCCTGAAAGTTGTAACTAAATCTAGGACACCAAAGTGTAGTAGGTATTGTATGGAAGAAAGTACAGAAGCCTTGTTCAAGAGATCATGTCATAGTGTCTTTGGCCTGCTTGTTGGTGTCTTTAATAAGCAGCTGGCAAAAAAACTATTATATGTTAAATTGCTTCCAGGGCAGGAACAGTTTGTTTAAATGAAAGAGAGACATAAAATTATTAAAATGTGAGAGAGGAGATGAGAAAAGGTGTGATAGCAGGGAGAACAAGTGGGTGAGTCTGGAGTGTTTGGAGGAGGGTGCAGCCAACTGAATCAACAGAACAACAGAAAAGCCCAAGGTCAGACCTGAAGACAGCAAGTGCCTGCTGCAGGAATCGGTGCCTGCCGCAGGAACCGGTGCCACCATTGTTCTGCTGGCATCGAGTGCCTCCCCTTGCCTGGTCCCGCCAAAGAATTTTCTCCCAGGTCAGATGATGTGGAGGAAGTCACTGCTTCTTTGGGTGGTATAAAAGTAAGGTAGGCAGATGACTCGATTTCCAGCTGCTCTCTCTCATCCTGTTGTCCTTGAAAGTTTGGATTCTTCACAGTATCTTTTTTTGAGAGCTTTGGCATTTGGATTTTTAGAACCTTCTGTACGTGCCATGCACAGATTTGTTAGTCTTTGGAGGAATTCTTAAAGTAATATACTTTTTTTGGTCTCTGTTTTCCTCAGCTTTACAATGAAGAAATTCTTGATCTGTTTGATACCACACGTGATATTGATGCGAAGAATAAAAAATCAAATATTAAAATACATGAAGATTCAGCGGGAGGAATTTATACAGTGGGCGTTACAACCCGAACTGTGAATGGGGAATCAGAGGTGATCATTGAAAATAATCTGTAGCATACCAAGTGCTTTCTAAAAATATTTGCTGTCCGTTTTCATAATGAGTTAAAAAGTTATGCTCACTAACATCTGCATTTCAGACAACTTAGGTGTAAATTTTAGCTGAAACCTCTATTTTCTTTATTTTCTGTATACTTAAATCTGGTAAATGTCTGATATTAAGTGCACACCACTTTTGCTTTATACTAGGAACAGACTTTTGCTAATAGTATGGCTCTGCTGGGGGAAAATTTTGACATATGTGTAAATATAATCTCCCAAATCTTCTGTATGTTATTTGTCCTATGACAGGATAGCTTTGCATGATGTCTGATGTGTAAATTGCTGTTCATATGTGTCTGTGCATTACAAATCTGAATACAAATGTTATTGTACGGTACATTTTTTAGCGAAGTAAAAAAATTGTCCATTTTTGCCACAGGTGAATGAAAAGGAGACTGCTGTGTTACTACCAGGGGACAGTAAAAAGAGCAATACTAAGATTTAAGTGTTTTCTTCCAGAAACCATGAAAAGAAACCCTTTTAGTTTGCTTATTTAAGAACCTTTGTGCTTTTAGCATATAGGAACTGCAATCATAGCAAAGAAAAGCTTATTTTTATCCAAAAAAGTGTTACAGGAATGCTTTTTTACGTAAACTGCGAGTAATGCAATGTATTTGTCTGTTTTCTAGATGATGCAGTGCCTGAAGCTGGGGGCTTTGTCTCGAACCACTGCCAGCACTCAGATGAACGTTCAGAGCTCACGGTCACACGCAATCTTTACTATACACTTATGTCAAACCAGAGTCTGTCCTGCATTTAACACTGTACGTATCTTTGTTGTTATTAAACGTCACTTTAGTAACCATTTTTCAAAATGTGAATATTGAATATTGGCCACTGCCATTTGAATTGCACTTAGTAAAGATGCTACAGTCATCATCATGCTCGATGGAATTTGTTAAGCATTATAATAATTTGATTTAATCTGTGCATATGTAACCATCCTCTAGCCAGAGGCAACAATAAACTGCAGCCTCTTATGTGAACCTGGCCATTCTTCTCAAGTGTTTTCTTCAGTATTTTGTTGCAACATACACAAGTAAGAAAGTTAAAATGTAATTTGTCTTTAAATGTAATTTGTCTTTAATTGGCAAAGCGTTTTTAAGTGTCTTGGTCGTTAGTGGGTTTAAGCTTGCAGTCAGCTAACTGAAAATGCTTGAATAGTCCAGATCTAAGTGCTGATGTCCAACAAGGAGCAGGTGGAAAAGCATTAGATTCTGAAGCTTTTTGTATTTATTGTAAATAGTTAGATATTTGAGGTTCAGATATGTTGTTAAGTCTATGCACTTCACCTGAAATTTAAACTGTGAACGTACACGGAGCTATTCTGCAGATTTTTGATGTGAATGTTCAGTAGTTAGTTGCTGTTGGTGTATCTTGTAAAGAGGAGAGTTCTGAATAAATCCATACTCCTGAAGACTACAGTATCTTCGGGGGGGGGCTTAATTTGATTATTCTGAAGGTATCAAAATTTTAAAATACTTTGGTGAACTCTTAAGTACCTGGCTAGCATTTTTACACATAGGCAGCTTATTTTAATGCATGTGGAACAGTGATTTGGATTTGCAAATAGTGCTTTTTTGGAGGGCAGCTTTCTTGTTTGTATTTTTTTAAACGTGACAAATAATCATTTGCAGGCAAAATGAGGGTTGCTCCCCTGTCCTTTGTGGTATGTAGACCTGCTTTATACACCTGTTAGAAACACTTCTTGCTTTCACGCTGTAACGGTGGAGCTGGTGGTGCGGGCAGCTGTCTGTCCTCTCACTCAGGAGGGACTGGCATCACTCTGGGAGCCCAGACAGGGCACCTTGGTCACTGCATGGTGACCCTGTCTGCTTGGAGGTTTTGTTGAAAACTGTCTGTGTAGATGGGGAGCAAGATCACTCATCTGGAAGCTTTGTTTCGCTGCAGGTTGTCAGGACAGCAGTCCACCTGCACTGAGGCACTTGCAGCCTTCCCCACCAGCTAAGCCACCCGCAGGACTCTTGCTACCTTTTGCCTTGTCAAAATGTGTTTTATTCCTTCTGTTTGGGTAGATACAAGCAAGATAATTTTACTCTCTGGAGCGGGACATTGCTAGATCCTGAATGCAGACAACACCCTCTTTTTTTCCCTGCAGTTATTTAGGAGGGTCGAGATTAGACCTGACATTGGCCTCTGAATGCTCCAAGAATACAAATTAATACAGGCATTATTGAGTGGCCAGCAGAGATGCAGCTCAGGTTTCTGTTGTTGCTGCTGTCTGTAGACCACAGTTTTGGGAGACCTTTGTTACTAGGGCAACGCAGTTCCTGGGATGACGGTGTGGGCTCTGTGCCTGTGTGTCTGAGCATGGCCCCGGTGCCTGGGGCGGGCAGGCAACCAGGGCTGCGGTGCACAGACATGCTGCTTCTCACACTGCGTTCATGCCATCCCTGCCTCTCAGAAGTTTCTGGATGTACTTTTGATTTACTAAATAAGCGATAGAGAGGATGTGTTAATCATTGCTTTAAGGGCTGAGAGTTATCCACCAGTAGCATGAATGTCAAAACAGCTGCAAAGGTGTGCTATCCAGTCTCGTGGAAGTGGCACAATTCCTGTTCTCTTCTGAACAGCTACAAAAGGAGATCACTTAAGAAGCGTGAAGTGTTTAGCTACTGTGAGAAGAGTTTGGTCTGCAGCCACATGCACTACCTCTGGCAATAGCAGAGGGAGCTGTGGGCTGGCTGACTGAGGACATAAAGACAGATGCTACAGAATACCCGAGGCTTTTCTAAAAGAAAAAACAGAACAACCATGCTTACTGTGGTAGAATACTCATAATAAAGCCTGTAGATTGGGCTGTGTGAACGTCCAGTATACACTCCATATATGGCTCTTACATGCTGCTATGGCAAGGAGGTAGAAATTGCCCTGCAATGGGTATCTGAGCAGGATGGTCAGGAGATGAGTGATTTGAAGTTTTTTTCTCATTCAGTGTTGCTTTCATGACAACAGCCCCAACTACACTAAGAGTAAAAGGAATCTCCACAGTCTATGGTGCACTAATTGGCAGAAAAAGCTTGGAATTATCTAGTGAAAAAGGATAGTTTTACTGCTGTGCTTTGGGACGTGAAGTGGAAGGAGGCTGAGGCTCTGAGGGGTACCTGCCCGTCGTGCAATGTGTCCCTGGGCAGACTCCCTGCACTGCTGGAAGTGAGTGTCAGGTGCCAGTTGTTATAACTTAACTGGGGGCAAAAAAAGAAAGAAACCTCTTCTTTCTCCTTTGTTCCCTCTGCTGTCCTTATTTCCTGGTCAGGTCAGCGGTGCTGGTGGAATACTGGCCGTTGGGAAAACTGACTTTAAAAAATAATTCCTAAAATAAAGTTGAAGAATCATGGAGATTATGATGGGGATTAGAGAGGTATAAAATGAAATTATCTTTCAGTTATTTGACAGGCTTATTAACTTGTAATTTGGGAGGGTAATTTTATCATTACTTTTAAAAAAAATCAGTTTCCTTTGACAATTCAAGACTTGCATTCCAGGAAAGGTACAAATGTAGTTGCTCAACTTGCTAATGACTTTTGTATTTTTTAATGTATGTATTCTCCCCTGCCCTGAAACGACTGTAGCCCATACTTAAAAGTAACTGGTGTTCATGTGCATCTAGAGCTGGGTCTTCAAGAATGCTGTGTTAGTGAATATGGATAACATATGGAGACAGATTTTTGAGAGATACTGATGTTGTTATAAGAGCATGAGTAAATAAGGCAGGAAATAGACATAAAAGGTAGTCTTGTAAATAATTGTTGATTGAACTTTGCAGTAGACAAATGTTAACGTGAAAGATCTTACCAAGCTTTATGGATTCTTCTTTATTTCAGGATAATGCCACCGATAACAGGATAATATCTGAGTCTTCTGAGATGAATGAATATGAAACTCTTACTGCCAAGTTCCATTTTGTTGATCTAGCGGGATCTGAAAGGTTAAAGCGAACAGGAGCTACAGGAGAAAGGGCGAAAGAAGGCATTTCTATCAATTGTGGCCTAGTAAGACTATACAATGTGTTTCCATAAGCTGTTGGTACCATCTTCTCTTCTTTAGTAATATGCAAAGTGGAAATGCACCATGTGCAGAAGAAGGACTGCAGCATGAGATGTAGCCGTCTCGTATTGACTGAGTTCTGGCTTGCTAACATTTTCTCAGTCGTACTGGACCCTAACTAGCACATTACATTACAGTAAAAGTACAATACAAATATAGTACAATAACAGTTCCAACTGTTGTGGAATATAGTTAGTTACTCTAACTTTTAAAAGATATCGCAGAGATATTCCTTTCACTTTTTAAAATTTTTATTTTTCATTCTGTTAAGACCCAAAAAATTGGAGAACGTTACAACCAGTTTGCAAGGAGTGCAGACATGTGAAACGTGGACAATGAATAAGCTTAAATGATTAATAAATGCCGGTTCTTTGTTATAATTATGAAATATAATGTAAAACAACCCTAGGCAAAACACTTTTAAGTAGAAATAAAATTAACTTATAGCATAACTTCTTTTTTTTTTTTGTCTGTGTTCTGGCTCTCTGCAGTTCTTTTTTTAATTAACTGTATTAAATCATTTATTTAACTATGACTTCACTGAGAACTAGAGTTAGTGATTATCAGTGGAGATTGTAGTTTCATGCCTTTGTTCTGAGCTACTTGGCTGTGTGAAGGCTCTGCAATTCTCTTTTAAAGACAAAGGTATTCTGCAACTAGTACTTTCTTATGATTCTCTTGCCATCATGACAGTGATTATATTCTGTAGTTATTTTGGTTATATTATATTGAAGAGAAAGACGTCAGTTCAGTTTTGTCATTGATATAAGCAGAGAGTCAACAGAAATTTGGGGGTTTAGACAGCATAGATGTATCCTTAATACAGGGTGAAAATTTGTGATAAAAGTAATATTTTATACAATCAAAAAACTTTCATTTACAGTGAATTGCAGCCCTCAGCTTTGGGAAACCGATTGAAAGCGTTTTAAACACTTCAAAGCAGTCACAGAATGTAGTGTATGTGCAGTTCTTCAACTGCTGGATGCAGTAAGGCCATTTTCAAGACTAAGAACTGGCTGGACTGGGTGCCATCTAGAAGATTGTTTAATTTGGCATAAATTGATTTTTGGCATTGAAGTACATTAAAAAAAAAGAGCCAAATGTTAGGTTATTTATAAATATACGTTATACCCTTCCTTAGCGATGAAATAGTATAGCCATGGACTACATAATTTCAGGCATTAAATGCTTAAATCTTTGTCAGACACTTCTTATTTCTTATCTGTAGAGGCAGTAAATTCTGTGTTGTTTATTTTTATATTAATGCACCATATTTTATTCTAAATCTAACATAAAGCACATGGATAAAATTAATTTTAAAAAGAATGTAGCTACAGGTAGAAGTAGAGATCAGCTTTAATAATCACCAAAAGTAAATGTTACATGAAGTACTTATAACTTTAGTTTGCAACTGACAGCATATATCAATAGACAGCACAGGCAAAAATTGTGCTAAGCACTTAGCATTTGCACATACCAGACTGCAAGTCATCTGATTCACTGCTGATAGCATTAAAGTTTATAGATGTCTACTGTAAATTGAAAAGTCTTCAGGTTTTTTTCATTATGTTAACTTTCATGAGTGTGTGATTTTTTTCACAATAAGTAGACTTCAGTTTATAGCTGTTTGTGAAATAAAACTGCTCAGAAACTGATTCTAACCTGTGCGTTACATGATTTGGTGTTTTATAGCTGGCGCTTGGCAATGTAATAAGTGCACTGGGAGATAAAAGTAAGAAGGCAACTCATGTACCGTACAGAGATTCAAAGCTTACAAGGCTGCTTCAAGACTCTCTTGGGGGCAACAGGTATGAAAATGAGAACGCTTTTTGAATTTCATTGTGAATGAGCGTGAATAAGTACATAATCTTCAGAAAGTAAAATAAACATTGAACAGTAATAAGAATAGCCACTCTTTTGTTGGAGAAAGGCTCCGAAGAATTGTTTGTACGAACCTGTTCTCTATCCTTACTGCGCAGACAAGAAAGAGATGCTTTGGCCTCTGGAAGCTTTGTCTAAGCAAACACTAACAAATTTATGAAAATAATACACATTTTTTATTTGTAACATTAACATGTACACATACAAAAGAGGGTGTAGTTGAATATTCTTTAGCAAGGTAGTACTCTCATTCCCCTATTTAAGCCAGTATGACTGACTGCTGTTTTTAGAAGGGCAGGAAGTTTTCTGGGCGTTTGACGAAGGGATAGGGAAAAATTGAAGAGAATTCTTAAACGTTTCTTTGTTCTTCAGAGAGAGAATTTCAGCAACACACTGCAGCACTGCAGTGCAAGGGAAAGCAAGGAGACAGATAAAACATGTAAAATAAAGGCTAGAATTTTCGAAGTGCTTGAGGGGGGAAGAATCACAGAATCACAGAACATTAGGGA